TGCTTCAGGGACTGGAGAAGAGGGCCAGTGTCCCTGCCAGACTGAGTCCCAGCTCCAGGCTCAGGCCACCGCCCCTCCCTCAGGGCTGCCACCTGGGGCTGGCAGATCTCAACTGCTTTGGGGACCAAGGCCATATTGTGGGTCAACTCACGAGAGGATGTTGTTCAGGATGGAGAGAGAGGAAGCCAGTTTTCCGAAAAGGCCAACCAGGCCACCAGAAGTGCCCCCTCCAGGCTTCAGGATGTTCAAAAGCGGGAGGCTTTCCAGAATGTCCAGCAGACCCCCAAAGAGCAGGCCTTTGCTGAGAGCTGGAAATGAGTAGAAGGGCCTCTGAGGGTCACCTCTGTCATCTCCAGGCCCTCAGGCMCCCTCCCCTACTCATCGTGCCCCTTCTCCTACCAGATGGGGTGTTGTTTATGCACACCTGTGACAGAGGCCATCACAGACTTACCATCCCTCAAGCTTCCAGCAAGATCTATGGGATTTGAATCCAGGACTGGAGTCAGATCCAAAGACAGAGTCGGGTCCAGGGGCTCGGGCAGGCCTGGGTCCAGCGGCACGGGCATGCCTGCGAGCTGGGCTGTGACCTGGGCCAGCAGCCCACAGAAGACAACGAGGCCCCCAGTGTGAAACATCTCTTGGTGTCTGTGGACAGAATGAGTTTAATGTGGCACAAAGTGGTCTCCTCCCAGAGCACCGGGAGGTGATCAGCAGTAATGGCTAGACTGCTGGGCGTTTTCTCTGTGCCAGGTGACAGGTTGAYGGCTGTACCCTGGGTGACTGATTCCATCTTCAGTATCTCCTGAGACAGGAGCCCCTTTCACTTGTACAGGTGAGGATACACAAACCTAGTGACCACAGGTAACTTCCCCCAATGTCCCCAAGGTTACAGATACAGTGAGCTCTTGGAACTGAAGTAGAGACAGGGTTTGAAGCAGCTCTGCCTGACCTCCAGGCCTCTATTTAAGGGACCATCAGATTTACTCAGGCACACTCACACACTGTTGGGGGACTGCAAATTGGTGCAGCCAATCTGGAAAGCATTATGGAGATTTCTTGGAAAATTGGGAATGGAACCACCATTTGACCCAGCTATCCCTCTCCTTGGTCTATACCCAAAGGACTTAAAAACAGCATACTACAGGGACACAGCCACAGCATTATTTATAGCAGCACAATTCACAATAGCTGAACTGTGGAACCAACCTAGATGCCCCTCAGTAGATGAATGGTTAAAAAAATGTGGCATATTTACAAAATGGAATATTACTCAGCAGTAAAAGAGAATAAAATCATGGCATTTGCAGGCAAATGGATAGAGAAGATAATACTAAGTGAGCAAATTCCAAAAAACCAAAGGCCAAATGTTTGATATAAGGAGGCTGATTCATAGTGGGGTAGGGAGAGGGATCATGGTAGGAATAGAGGAACTCTAGACAGGGCAGAGGGGTGGGAGGGGAAGGGAGGGGCATGGGGTTAGACATGATGGTGGAATGTGATGGTCATTATTATCCAAAGTAAAAGTATGAAGACATGAACTGGTGTGAATATACTTTGTGTACAACCAGAGATATGAAAAATTGTGCTTTATATATATAATAAGAATTGTAATGCATTCTGCTGTCATATATAAATAAAAAAGATTTACTCAGCAGCTGGGCTCACTTAAGGAGTTCCTAGTTCCACCTCCTCTGAGGAATTCCACCGACCTTTCTGCAGTGCTGGGATGGAACCCAGGGCCTCGTC